AACTAAATATAATTCTTACAAAAAAGGGTATAATTTAAAAAATATACTGTATATCATATTCACTTAATTACTGCAACAATGATATAGCGCGAAATAGACGCTCCATTACGTCATTACTGTGCGACAGCACTTGCCTGCGTGGAGTGTAGTAGTGTTTCGCTCCTGTACATCATACTTTTCCCGTTAACAATACTCTCTCTCATTGCTGGAGAACCGAGAGGTTAGGGTGGCAGCCTATCCCACTGGAAGAATAATAATAAAATACGAAAACTACAGGCAGATTCAATCACTGCTATAAGAAAAATTACTATTACAATCATTCCTATCACTTCTCTTTGTTTTTTATTGAGTCTTTTGTGAATTGCCAGGTGACATTTACCTGTACAGATATATAAACTATATTTCAATATTACATAATTATTCATTTGTGTAATTAGGTCGATTATCACTGTTATATTTCAACTAACACCGAAGTATGCTCTATATATTTCTATTTATGAAAACATAATTAATTTAGAAATTACAAAACTTGCAAAAAAATTATTGTAAAACGGCTTCATCATATTTGATTTTAAAATAAATATTTTAAAGAACTATAAAATCGTTCATAAGTGATGAAATAGTTTCACGAATGACGAAGCGCATTCCTCACAGCAGGCCTTATACTACTACTGGAGTCGGAGTTTTATCTTTCGTGTCTTCTGTCAAATTAAATGTGACGAAATCCTTTTACAAGAATTTTTTATGATTTTTGTAATTTTATTAATATTATATAAATTAATAGGCAGTTCCGACGAAAGACTATAGGAAGAATAAAACTCCGACTTCAGTGGTAGCCTACGAGTAAGGTTCTGTTGTGAGGTGTGCCTTCGTCGTTTATGGCACTGTTATGAACTCTTTTATAGTTCTTTGAAATATTTAATTTAAAAAATAATTAATTTTAGTTTGTCTATAATTTTTATAGATTTAATTGTCATTTATAGGAAATACGAACAAGAAAAATAAATAAAAAATATCAAAAATTTAAAATAAAAATAATATTCCGTAACTTTTGCTCTGTAAATTGATAGAAAAACTGCTTCCCGATATAAACTTTACATCATCGAAGTTTTCAGCGAATAATTATTCCTCTGCATTAGTCTACACAAAAATGGATGGGATGATTTTATTCCTTGGATGACCCGCCCCAACAATTGACGTGTTGATAAACCATTTAACGGATGGCGGGTTCGCACCGCACCAACGGACTGTCCATGTGGAGTCTTCCGGCTGGTTTTCTTCACGTGTGTAATATAAATAAGGACAGTTTCCCGTAGGAAGCCCTCCTGGTAGGCACTCTTTCATTGTCAGTTGCGTTGCCTTATCCCATCAATTCTGTACGATCCAATCCTCTTACAATGGTTAACTGACTTTTGAGTTACCAAGTAGTAATTCTAATATTTTCACTAAATCCTTCTCCTATATATATCGTGACGTAATTCTTACAGTACAGATATACAGGATGGCCCAAAAGTTAGTTAACTATAGTAAAAGATTAAATTGCTACGCTATTCATATTTTTATCACGTTTACATCAAATTCATAAAAGAAAAACACATTATTATAGACTCGATTTACCATTCATATTCACAATTACAGTAAATAAATTACGATTAAATAAAATAAAAAAAATCAGTCAACCGTGCACACAAATCAAATGAATATTTAAATATATCTTTAAAAAGTTTTAAAAATACCCCCTTTTTTTTACGGGTTAAACAAAGCTTGAACCTAAAAAGAATTGAATAAATTCCTGTAACAAATTACCATTTAAATAAATTAATTTATAGCAAAAAAATATTTATTCATAATCAATAAATGAACCTAAGGAATTCTTTATATAGAATCTTATTAAAATTTTATAATAACATATATACGTATGTTTATAAAAATCAATTGGCCTATTTAATGTAGAAGTCTGTGTTAAATGCTAAATTAAAGAACTTACTGTCATAACGATTAAAAAAAAAATTAAAAACTTGCGTGACTAAAAATTTAAATTCAACATTTTAATTTTAAATATAAATTAAAAAAAAGAACATATAATTATGAAAATTTAAAATTCAGCGTATAATTAAATTTTAATACATTTTTATATTGTTTATATAATATAAAATTATCCATTTGCTTAAAACACTAGCCGTTTAAAGGAGAGAACCAGACAAAAGTCAATATAAATGCCACTTCTGTAACGTTAAGCTTCTCATAACATATGCTTTGTTGTTCTGATTTACAGTTCTATCCAAATGATTTATAACTTCTCAGGATGTTTAAATAAATATTTAACTTTATGAAATTTTATTTGATGATTCTTAAATTAATATTCATATTTTATGGGTCTGGCTTTGTTTTTTGTAGGATTAATATTTATGCACAGTAAAATCATTTGCTCTTTCATAAATATGAATATTTATAATGTTTAAAAATATTTTTCCTCTGAAATATTCAATGTTGTCAAAATTACTCTCAATAATCATTTTAAAACATAATTTTATTTAATTTTTATAATATTTTAAAATAAAACTGAAAGATTGTTTTTTTTTTAAGAATAAATTTGAATATTTTAGTTTTTAATTATATTCATAGATGATTTTATTAATAAACAACTAATACATTTATTATAAATTCTGTTGTAATATAAATTATTTGTATGTTTGGCTTCAATGGGATCGAAATTTAAGAGTGAGTTCGGTTTTCAGTGTATAAATTATATGTTTAGTTGTTGGTAACGTGTAAAGAAACAGATTCTTTTCTTTCTATACAAGAAACCATTATGACAATTTATCCCATTGTATTCCTTAATTAAGATGAGTAAAATTATATTTGTTTTATATTTGTTCATCATCATCCAAAGCATATATTTTTGTCCTACTATTCTTTATTAGAGCATTAATTGTTCGAGCATCTTTTTGTTATCGTATCCTTTCTTACTGAAAGGCATGTGTTCAGATCCTAGTGTATTATGTCATATGTTCATCCAAAGAAAATGAATATTGCCTCCTATACGATGGAATATGTCTTTTTTTTTCCCAACAATGCATCCTTTGTTTGTGGGTTCAATCATCCTCAGAAATCCCCCCTCTTCGTCTTAGGATAAGTTTCGTTGGTATTCTTGTTTTTTAACAAAATAATTGTTTCCTATTTTCATCACATCTATTCTCAATCAACCAAGTATGAAAGCTATTCTAATATTTTTAGATTTAATACTTTTTATACTGTCGATGAAGAAATTTGTATACGGTTAACTGAATAGATATTTACTGATAAAAATAAGTTTAACAATTAACTTACATTAAATTATATATAACTTTATATTGTTTTAAGATGTATTGAAATTCTTTACTCTTGTGCAATGTGTAGATATTAAAACAATTATTCTTATTTACTGTACCAGAAAGATCTGGAACGACCTTTCTTGCTTACATTTCTGGTTCTATGAGATATAGAAATTTGAAACTTTGAGAGTAATGACAAAGTCTAAAAGTTGTCTTTATGTTATTTTCTTATTTAATTTTTGACATTTAAAAGCAAAATGCTTCTAACTTTAAAATTTCAAAAGACAACCTTGTGTAACTATTGACAGGTTTACCCCATTTCAAATTTGAATTCAGCATTAAAGATAGTTCAAAACGACGTGTCATAAGACATGTGTTATCATTTTAAATTTTAAAGTTACAATTGTCTTTACAGTTAAAGTTCAAAGGTCAAATCATTGACATATCACGAAAGACTGTAGTTTTTAGATCTATGGCTATTCCCAGTTTCAAATTTCTACAACTATCCTTTCCAGGACCAGAGATATATAAGCTTGAAATAACATTCTTGAGACGTCCACCCACCCAATGGCAATGTGTATAGGCCTAATATCACTGAATATTGGTCAGTTGTGCCTGATAAATGTGCCGACTATGTGGAGTTTTCTGGGTCTTCTTCAGGTGTCTAACACCTAAATACAGGCCAATTTCCTACAAAAATTCCTCTAGGGAGGAACCTTCCTCGACATATCCTTCTTGTGTTGCGTTGTGTTATTCCATTAATCCAATCCTTTCTTCAATCTTTGGAATTCGACTTTTAGAATATTAAAAATACTTCAGAAAATACTGACAATTTATTATTGATATATTATTTTAAATTTAATATTTTAAAAATAAATCATTAAAATAATTATCTTACATTATCATTAAAAACACAATTAAATCTTTCGATTATGTATATTATAAAAAATGTGCGACTCACATTTTAACTAAAAATAAAAGGAAAAAGAATAATAGATATATAATAAATATATAATTTTACATAATTATTGATTTATAAATTTTCATAATAAAAATAGTTATACATGCATAAAGTCTATACAACATACCATTAATGATAAAGACAGGATAAACTTATCATTAATGATAACAGGATGATCATTTCAAAAAAATATTTATTGTAATATTTTAGATATAAACAATAATTTTATTGCTATTAAAATATAGCTGTGGACGGATATTGCATAGTTAGGTATATATATATTTATAATATAGTAAATCGATACATGTGTGTATGCTGAATTATCCCATCGTATAAATTAATTTAAAGCAGAACATTCTCATAAAGTGCAATATTTAAAAATTTCTTTATATATTTATAAATCTTCTATTCTATATAATATATCACATTTTTGCTTTGGATGATTTATAACCAATGCCCCATAAAATAGCTATCTACAGCATTAGCATATACAGGATATCCCGTTCATTATTGGCTTCGTTGCTCTGTAAGGATAAAAATCTCATTAAAGAGACACGAATGTATATTATTTAAAATAAAAAAAATATATAGAAAATCATCTAAAACATTTTACTTAATTTTTTTTTTTGATTAAAGCCAGCCAAATTCTTAATAAACAATAAGAAATTTCTATTCTCATATATTTTTTGAGGGTATAATTAACATATAATATACCCCTTTTCTGCATAGAAAGAAAATTAACAGATCAGATAATGATAATAATAATAATTTAACAAACACTTTCTTCCTTTTCTATTTGTTTTTTTGGAGATATTTCTAAAAAATTTGCAGTTTTTTCCGAGACAAATATTTCAGGTTTATTATTTTTTGTTTTGTAGTCACTTTTTCTTCTCCTAAAAGGTTGACAAATTCCAAATCTTGGTGATAAAGGACTGAAAACAGAAGCGAAGGCTAGCACTAGATGAGTACCAAAGTCCATATAATAAGCACTTTCCCAATCCTTCGACTGTAAATACATGGCATGTAAAATAGCCAAAGGACGAAGGAATATCATCCAGATACAGTTATAATAAAGAGACATGTTGACAAATGTGTCATTTTTATAATCCCTGCAACAGCTATTCGTTTCAATAATCCTCTGCAAATAACCTAAAAAAATAATAATAATAAATATTAAAATTATCTTAATTTATACTCTAATTACACGATAAAATCATAGAAATTATAGAAAATAATTTAATATTAAATAATTATTATGATAAAAAAGAAATTATCAGTGTATCCTTCTTCAACACATTATAAGAAGATAATAAAATTTATTTTAAATCTTGAATAAGCATAAGAAATTGTTTAATAATTTATTCATAATTAATATAATTAACCACAGTTTTAATCAATTTTCCTAATTTATTTAGCTTCCATATTAGGATATTCTTTATAAAACACATCATCCAACCCCCCCTATAACACCGTTGATTATTCCGTTTTATATGAATTCCATGTTGTACGAGTCACTTAGATTTTACAAATACGTGTGCCGGGCTGTGAACGGCTCATGTATTTGTAAAATCTAAGTGACTCGTACAACATGGAATTCATATAAAACGGAAT